AAAAAAAAAAAGCTGTGTGAAGTACTGGAAAATTGTTTCCAAATTACATGTTCTAGTCTAGTCTGCTTATTTTTATTAAAAAAAAAATTATAGCTCTTACCAGTCTAGTTTGAGATTTTTCCATCTAAGAGAGGAGACTTACTTTGGTAGTTAACTCGTTCACATTAATATTGGGTTAATGTTAAGACTTGAGGTTTTCCACAAACTTGAGATCTTTAGGTTGTTACTAGGTTGGCTAGTTTTTCTGTAATTATTTGATGTATTTATACATTTACAGAAACTGGCATAGGCAATCTATTAAAGGAAAAACATTAGTAATCAGGATACTTGGGTTCTGGATCCATCTCTGCCTTTAAGTAGCAAATGATTTCAGTAATCTGAACCTTGATTGATTGATTGATTGATTGAGACAGTCTTGTCTGTCGCCTAGGCTGGAATGCAGTGGTGTGATCTCAACTTACTGCAACCTCCATCTCCTGGGTTCAAGTGATTCTCATGCCTCAGCCTCCCAAGTAGCAGGGATTATAGGCATATGCCACCACGCCTGGCTAATTTTTGTATTTTTTTTTTTTTTAATTAAAGTTGGGGTTTCACCATGATGGCCAGGCTGGTCTTGAACTCCTGACCTCAGGTGATCCACCCACCTCGGCCTTCCAAAGTGCTAGGGATTACAGGTGTGAGCCACCATGCCCGGCCTAATTTTTGTATTTTTAGTAGAGACTGGGTTTCACAATGTTGGCCAGGCTGGTCTTGAACTCATGAGCTCAAGAGATAGGCCCACCTCAGCATCCCTACATGATGGGATTACAGTTGTAAACCACTGGCGCCCAGCTGAATCTTTATTTCTTATCTTAAAAAAACATGGCGGTTAGATTTCTTGATCTCTGTCCAGCTCTAAAGTCCTCTAATTCAGGAAAACTGCCATTAATGATTTGATCATTTATCTTGAACTGTCTCATGTTTGGGACAGAGGGTTATGGCTGTCTTGTATTCCAGGGCTCCTGACAGCAGGTTAATTTTTCT